CAGGGTGGCCAGAAATGGGAAAGAGAAGCATAGGATAAAAATAACTTGTAGCTGAGTTGGATTAATTTGGAGGTGGGGAGGAGGGAAGTCCAGGAAATTACATAATTAAATATGTACATTTTAAATGACATTTTTACAGTGAATTTGAAGAGTCTGAAGGCCGTATTGTTAATGAACTATTGCTCCATCTTCACCATGCTTTGAACCATTCTGTGAGAGTTCACCCTCCAGTTATGACCCTCTTTTAACTGTTTTTGGCATGTATTGACTCTGCCTTGTGCCTTCATTTGTATAAAAAAATATAAGCAATAAAAACATTAAATATAAAAATCTAGATTTCCTTGTGAGTTTATTCCTTAGTTTGGGGGAATTTTTATTGAGTCAGAGTATTTTGCTGAAGCTGACTCAAGTATTGATATTCATCAATACACAACAATCACCAAAAGTAGTTTGCCATAAAACAGAAACTGGAGTCTAGTTCAAAACAAAACCCCTAGCATAGTGCTTTGCACATACCAGTATTCCATAAGTAGTTGTTGCATACATCAGTGAAACAGTGATAACATTAAGATCCTTTCTGATTGATTATCAGTAGCTACACATTCTTTGGTATTTTTCTTGGAAAGATGACTTACTGAAAACATTTTTAGTGTGTAGTCATTGAAGATAGCAATATATAGGTAGGCATAAATTGCAATGACTGCTTCCAGTTGGGGTTAAATTTTATAATGCATTTCATATAATTTTTTCAATAACATCATCTTTCCCAAAGGAGCTGCACAAAGCAGTTTTTATTAACTGTTTTGAGGGGTAGAGGTAGGGATAGGAGATGAGGCTTTTTTGGTTCTACTCTGTAAAAACATTGACCATAATCAAAGGACTAAACGCTCCTGAAAAGGTGATCTTTTTACATATTGCTCCCTACCTAAGATATATATTGTTGTTGTTAAGTACCATAGAGCCTGTTCCGACTCATAGTGACCCTGCACAGGGTTCTGAGGTTGTAAATCTTTATGGGAACAGAAAGCCTCATCTTTCTCCCGTGGAATGGTTGATAGTTTCAAACTGCCGACCTTGAGGTTAGCAGCCCGATTTCTTTTACTAGCTCTCATTCTTTTCTCCCTGGATAACTTTACATCATCATCAAGGCAATACGGTTTCTGAGCACTTCACAGGATTTCAAGAAAAAAAAAAGATATCTAGATTGTATGCTGACAAAATAATGACCATCATCTGAGAAAGTACCAATGTGGAAAATGACATTCATGTCTGTCCTCAGAGCTATTGCCATTTTGATTTAAATATAATTCTATAACTGTAAATTTTTCTAAGAAGTATGTTATTTATTTGCTGATTTATAGTCCTTTAAAAACATTTGTTTTTGTTAAGTGCCAACTCATAGCAACCCTGGCTGTATAGTTAGGAATGCATTTATTCATTAAACATTTATTACTTGCTTCTAAGATTGTGCAAAATGCTGAACTCTATTTGCTTTTATTCATCCAATCAACTACTTAACAATTGAAATGACAGCTCCAACCCAAAATAGATATTCTCATTCCCATTTTAGAGCCATGCATTTAAAGTTCCCCAAACTAACAATCCTATATGAACAGAAAAATGCTAGGTGGATATTAGCTTTTTAAGAGACGTGTGTCTAAAGTGGCAGTAAACCCATTATTTTGGCATCTAAGCTCTAACAGCCATCAACAACCTTCTTGAACATTTTATAAAGACAGCAAAGTTATCTTTAACTTGCTTCCTCTTTCCTATCCTCCTCCTATCCTTAGGAGGTTTTCTTCTCCGTTATTTATTGCTTTCATTTATTAATTCTATTAATTCTTTCACCAACCATTTATCAAACAGAAATAAGCCTCTTTGTCAGCAGAAATTGAAAATAAGAGACAGGGACCCCATTTTAACTATTATATCTTTTATATGTAACTATTATGTATTTTAACAGAAGCTATTGCTTCTGTAATGAAGATAAGATGTGTCTAGTCATAAAAACAGTATGAAGAAGAATGTGATAAATGCCATGTAGTCACATAATTGTGAGAGTTCATAGGATGTCAAGCACCTAATTCTAACCCAACTAAAACTTGGCTTTCCTTGAAGTACTTCTTAAGTATTCCTTTCTTTCAGTTTGTGAGTCTCAACCTGGGTTATACCTGAGAATTACCTGTGGATCTTTCAGAAATCTTGATATCATGGCAAAATTACAAGCCTATTAAAAAATAATTTCTGGGGACTCTGACATCAGTATTAAAAAAAAAA